CTAGTGCATCTTTCTGACAAGGATGATGCAATAGACTCTTTTAACAAAGGCCCAATTGTGGCCCTATTTGGGTCTTTCCCCCTGTACATACTGCATAATACTATCATCAAACTAAAAATCATCAGGGATGCAGTCCAACTGTTATGGGGCTAATCTTTTTCGCTTCGCTCCTTTTGCTGCACCTCTAGCAATGACATTTTTAATTAAAGTGCAATATGTCGAAACAAGCGTTTGGCCAAATGCCACATCGGTGATGGCACAGTCGGGGTACAATAGATCACCATCACTAGTCTGTCGTAGCCTCATCAGTGCCAATATCTCATCGATATGCTGCATCAAATAAAAACAACAAGATAAGTATGGAAAACATAGGCAAAAATAAGGAAAATTAAGCGAAAATAACTCACCGAGTCCTCAAGCCACGTGCCCATCGTCAACAACTTTTCAAACCATTCCTGGGGATAATCCTCTGTCTTACACTTTATATGTGTATTACTTCTTGATTCATTGTAATAGGCATAGAAGAGTTTTTTCTGTTCTTCTATTGGCTTATACAAATCGACATTTGAGTCCATTTCTGCATGCCCACTTCCTCCCCCTTCATCCATTTTTACATTCCCGCTTCCTTCGCCTCCCACCTCGCCCTCCTCCATTATCACTGCCCTACTTCCTCCACCAACCTCCCTAACCTCCTCCATTTCTGGTTCTTCCTCCATTTGTTTCTTAATTTTCCTCTTCTTTGCCTGTGTTACTATCATGTAAGGCGATTTGACAAACTTGCTCTTTCGGCTCTCTTTTTTTTGCCCAGTTTATGCTTTAACCACCTTTAATTCTCCACCAACTTTCTCCTCCACTGTACCTACTTTCTCTGCCAGCTTATCCATTTTCTCCTCCAACCTTTTCATGCGCTCTTCCATCTGGTCAAACCTGTCATAAACGGCTATTGTAAAACTCTGAAACAGGCCGTTTATGAGGTCAGCCACCTCATTCTCCCGATGCCGATGTCTTGGTAAAGCGGTACTTGTTGTACTGGTTTGCTGAGGCATACGAACCTCTTCCTCCCTCTTCTCCTCCTACTCCTTGGGCCTCTTGCCGATTGGAGCTTCATCATCCTCAGCATCAACCATGTTGTCAATCAGTGGTCCTGTAACTGCCATCACATACGTGACCCCTTGTAGGTCCCGCATCAGGCGGTCTATCTATTCATCCCTTTCATCCTCTAGTGCACTGAAAGATGTGACATAGTCCTCTTCCGCTTCATCCCCAGTAGCGGTGAGAAAGGGACGGACGACTCCCTGCAATAAGAAACAAAATCAATCAGATTGAAGCGATATTTTAAAGCAACTGCATATTTAAAAGCTTAATCCTTTAATCTTACCTAGCCGCTTCAATCTCAATGTCTATTTGGTCGTAATCCCAATGGGTACACTTCTTGACATGCCATCGCAACATCCTAGGAATTTGCTGTCGCACATCCAAACTCTTCCCCCCCGCCTTAATGAAGACAGGGATGGCCTCATACATCCAAGCCTACATTATACAAAAACAGTCCATATCATAATTCAAACACATATATTACAAAAAGCTATTAATATTTACCTGCATTGCCCATGGGAAGCCAAACAAATTATACGTGCTCAGTTTATCCTTCCTGACACATTGGGACTGCTTTAACACCATGTTTGGTTTTTTCAGGCTCTTGATGGTTCACTCAAATGATATCCGTCCCCACGAATAAGAATTAAAGAACTCCAAGTCGCTTGCAAACAACAACCAATCATTCTCAACAGCTTTTGTTGAGTCACCAGCCAATAAGATCGAATGTAAAAACAATACCAAGCACACTTTTATCTTCTCTCCATCATTAAACCGAACTGTTTCTAGCCTCTCCTCTAAACCGTGTCCTGTAATAGACTTTGCCCCCTGCAAAACCTTGTTACAAAACCTTATGGCTCTCGGACTCTTCCTTATTGCGTATGCCTCTAGCTTATCTGGCAATTTCCCACATCCTAAGCCCGTCACTAAGGCATATTCCATTATCCCAAAACGTAGTGGCTTTCTACCCACCACGAACCACATTTCTTTATTTTTATTGCATTTTACTGAATGTAGCAACATGTAATGCACTCCCTACCCCTAGAACGTCTTTTTTCCAATTTGTTCCGATTCTTAAAAACCGACCAAAACATGTGTCTTCGAAATCTCTTGCACTTCCAGCTCAAATCTCCTTTATTCTGTCAAAAACATCCCACCTCGACCTGACCGTCACCCTTGCAGGGAAGTAGGGTACATTATTGCTTACAAGCTCCAACATAATCTGCACAATCGATATAAACAACATGTCAGCAACAAAAATAAACCAAAACAACTAATAAACAAAATATCAATAACAAAAAATTACCTCTGTGGTCGCTTAAGCGATTTCGGATCGCTTAAGAGATCTTGCACGAGACAACATGCAAGATCTCTTAAGCATTCAGAAATCGCTTAAGTGACCAAGAGTAAACTGAAAGAATCGCTTAAGCGATGCAAAAGATTGCTTAAGCGATCTTATATCTAGATTTTACCTCGGACAGGATCGCTTAAGCAATCTGAAATCACTTAAGCGACTAAGAGTAAACTGAATCAATCGCTTAAGCGACCATGAGTAATACTCCCAAAACAAATGATTAATCGCTTAAGAGATTAATCGCTTAAGCGATACAAATGATCGCTTAAGCGACAGTGCAGAGCAATACTCCCAAAACAAATACGTACCCTTTCTTCATCGGCCTCCTCATTTCCTGCATTCTCGCCGGCCTCCTTCTCGTCGCCTAAATCCTCGAAAGACTCCTCCTGGCCTGTATTCTTGTCGGACTCCTCCTCCTCGCCTGACTCCTCCTTTTCAGAACCGTTTTGCAATTCTTCTCTCTGTTGTTGTGCTGCCGTCGGCTCCTCTGCCTGTGGACTACCTTCACTGATTGGATGATCGATCGCAGCAGCCATTGAACTGCTTTCGCCACCGGAATCTGGGATTCGAAGTGGCGTTGGGTTTTCCTCCTCATTGTCAGTGTCAGCCATGGTTTTGGATTGAATTTGGTGTCAAAATTTATAGTTTCAATCGAAAATGTGGACTGTATCATCGGAAATCGCAAAGAAATCGATTTTAGGGTTCAAGAGATCGATTGGAAATCGCGATGTATCACCGAAAATCGCGACTGTATTCAGTTTAGGGTTCAAGAAATTAATTTTAGGATTGAATATGGTGTGAAAATTTGCAGGTTCGATCGAAAACTGCACAGTCTTTGTTAGGTTTAAGAAATGGATTGAAAATCGTGACTGTATCGTCGAAAATCACGACTTTATTCTGTTTAGGGTTTAAGAAATTGATTTTAGGATTGATTATGGGTGGAAATTTATAGGTTTGATTGGAAATCGTATAGTCTCCATTAGGTTCAAGAAATTGCTTTTTGCCCTAATGAGTTTTGATTAAGCGAGGTGAATAGTTGGGGCTCATTTTAAAATTTGAAATTTTAAAAACTTTCATTATTTATGATTTGTCCCAAATATGTTTTAATCTTTTCATTTTAACCCATTTTACGTGTTTAACTCTTCCTAAATATGCCACGTCAGCTTCTTTAAATTAAAAAAAAAAATGAAAAAAATTTTGAAGGCCATTTTGTTAAATGCAAACTTGGGATGGCCGGGCAGCTAAATTTCCTCACATTTGCAAGTTTCCAAGGTTTGGTAAATCTACAAGTTTCCACCGTGGTTTCATAAATTCTTGATTTTCATCATTATATTAACACTGGTAATGAATTTTGACATCTAACACAGTTGCAAACAATGCTATTACCATACTGCCTTTACTTTTGATTACACCGCCACCCAGCCACCATTACCATCCAACCACCACCATCACCACCCATCACCCACCACCACCTTTCAACACCATCATGACCAAAACCCCAAATTCACCACCACCATTCCACCCATTCACCACCATCGCAATCCCTCTAAACCCCAAAGCCGGCCACGTTGCCACCAAACAGCCACCACTAAATCACTCACAAATTTAGCCACAAACTTAGCCACAAACCCACCTAAAAAACCTCCACAAACTCAACTACAAATCCACCCAAAAACAACCACAAACCGAGCCCACCACCATTCCACCCATCCACCACCATCACAATCCCTCTAAACCCCAAAGTCGACCCCGCTGCCACCAAACAACCACCACCAAATCAATCACAAATTCAACAACAACCCACCACCCACTCACAAATCTAGAAAATGAATGACGATCACGAGTAGGAAACGAAACCTGTGCGACCTGAGATGGATACCGGTGTGTCAAGGGTGAAGAGAGAAGATTGATGTTGGCTGTGGATAGTGGACGATAGACGTAGCACAAACACAGCAAACTTAGGTGCATGTCGCGATGGAGAGATATAGTCGTGAAAAGTGGAAATGACAGCTATTGGTGTACTGCTGGTGGGGGTTTTGAAGAGGATGGTGAGGGGAAGATGATGATGGAGTCAGGTGGTTTAATCAACACCAGATTTTGGTGCAAAATCTAATTGAAATCTGGCTAAAATCTGCGAGAGAAAGGAAGGAGTAAAAGGAGGGAGAGAGAGGGGTGGGACGGTTGTGTGCTGACCATTTTACCTTTTAGCAATTAAATTAAATGATTGCCTATTAATTTAAAGATGGGAATCTAGAATTTATGAAATTATGGGTGGACACTGTAGATTCGCCAAACCTTAGAAGGGTAAATGGCGGTTACGCTTGCTATGCCTGATAAGATAGTTAAATTCTTTACATATATGTAAATTCTGGGGATATGATAATCCACAAGGCAAGTGACCCGACCGCTGGAGCTGATAAGGTAAGTTGTCTTCTTTCAGTAAACAGGCCATTGACAAAAAGTCAACTAATACATAATCAAAAAATCAAATCATCAGTTCTCACTTCTTAGCTAATTCATTTATCCCGATCTTTCCATCCTCTCAAAGAACATGGCAGAATCATTTCCGTCCACCATTGCAGCAAACATTTTGACGAAGATGGATTTTCTTGCTTTCGCAGAAATACGCTTGTCGTCGAGGGTTCGAAAAGAAATAACGAAGGCCAAACAAATCTTATGCGATGTCAAAGACGCAGTATTGAACGCTGAGGCACAACAGGCACAAAACTGCAAGCTGCAGATTGGGCTTGAAAAGCTTTCAGAACTGTTGTATGACGCTGAGGATGTGTTGGATGAATTGAAGTGTGAAGTACTGGCGAAACAGGTAAGCAAACTCAGTGCTATCATATATTATGGAAAAATCAAGGATATTAGGAAAAAATTAGATGAAAAAGCAGCTGCTATTAGGTCTATATATGATGAGAATCAGCAAGAATTTAGGCGTGTTTATTCAGGAGAGATGGGGATGAACAATTCCTTTCTGGGTACTTCCAAATTTTTTAGGAGAGACGAAGATAAGGAAAATATTGTACACTTTTTGATGGAACCAAACAGAGAAGATGAAAGGGTATCTGTAATTCCTATAGTTGGAACTGCTAGTATGGGAAAAACCACTCTTGCAACTCTGGTGTATTGCGACAAAAGGGTAGATGAAACCCATTTCTTTTTATTTTCATTCAGCACATTATCCAAGACGAGCAAACATTTGGTAAGAAATATTGCACTTTTTGTTGCAACTTACCATGAAAATGAAGAGTTGGAAAATGTTGGATTGCAATATTTAAAGGAATTGATTTTTAGGTGTTTCTTTCATGATATTAAAGTTCATGGTTATTATTTTACATTTAAAATGTATAACTTCGTTCATGATCTTGTCAAGGAAGTGGCACAAAGTGAGTGCAAGGTGATAGATCTCAGAATCCATTATCGTTCCATAAATGCTCGACATTTGTCATTTATTGGCTGTGAAAATTGTATTCCAAATGTTTCATTCAGTTCGAACAAGTTGCGGACCATCAATATGCAAAGTATTCAATTTGAGCAGGTTTCTGAATCCTTTGTTAACACATGGACATCAAATTTTAAGTACGTCAGGTTGTTGTGCTTGAGTGGTCTACAATTTGAAGTGCTACCAGATTCTGTCGGTGCATTGAAACATTTGACATGTCTTGACTTATCTTGGAATTTAATTCTGAAGAAACTCTGTGCAGGTATTTGTAAACTTCGGAGTTTGCAGATCTTAAGACTTCTTGGTTGTTCAAGGCTTAAGAATTTTCCTAATAATATGGGAAAAATGATCGGCCTCAGATATTTGGAAATGACTACAACAGATAGGCATCTACCACAAATTGGAGTTGAATGTTTCAGTTCCCTACGATATCTGCACTTGTATAACTTTCACCATCTGGAAAGTCTTTCTGAAGTGGTGCAAAGTCTCACCAGCCTCCGAACTTTGATTTTGAAAGGCTGTGATAGCATGAACTCATTGCTAGATGATATACAACATCTTAAGAGGTTGGAGAAGTTAGTTATATACAGTTGTCCGACAGTTAATCTGCAAATGGGCTTGCAAGGGAAAGACTTCCGTCTGAACCTTAAAGTTTTCATAATTTATGATTTAGAAGGACTAGAAGACTTACCCCAAATGATTCTTGAAGGATCTGCTAACACTTTAGAGTATCTGCGGACTGACTCATGTCCTAAGCTCACAGAATTACCAGCATGGCTTGTAAATCTCACAGCGCTTCAAAAACTTGAGATTGTAAGCTGCCAAGGACTGTCATCTCTGCCAGATGGGATACTGAACCTCTTCAACCTTAGCGAATTGATGATACAAAATTGTCCCACCCTGAGTGAAAGCTTAATCAAATGACAGACTGGAATAATGAATGATCAGGTATGTGTAAAAGTATCTCTCATTACCTTCGATATAAGTCTGGTAAATTGTTTAAATACCCTAGCTTATAATGTTGTTAGAATACCCTTCAATATTGGTAACTGCTTTGAGAGAAATTAATTTATATCTAACTTCATGCTGCCTTCTATGCAAAATTTTAAGTTCAAAATTTTCTCAGTCATAGGTTTTACCTAATGGTTCATAACATTACCAATCCAAGGATAAAATTAATTAAACCAATAGCCGTATTATTGGCATACACTACGAACCATAGTATACACTGCCCATTTGACTTCTAATTTCTGGTGGACTAGTGACTAGCAAGCCACAAGCCTGATTCAAGCGACAGAAACATGTAAGAACTCAGCGCTTCAAAGCATAAGATGACAAGAACAAAGCTGTTCAAACAACAGTTTACTTAATAAAACAAATTTTTAGAACTTTTTCATGAAAAAGAATTTACTTTCACCAGAACAATTATATTGTGTATAAACAATGGAACATTGAACCGACAATGGAGAAATCATAAATTCCAAAAATTAAAAACCAAGTTAGATCCATAACAGAACCCTTCTCAAGAATTGATTATAAGTAACATAAGTAAATAGAGGTTAACCTAAATTTTACATATATATGTCATATTTGGTATGAGGCCAATACATAATCAAGTATTTGGGTACTAATAAAGGTCGAATTTTACAAACCTGTGATATATTTGCTTGGTGACTTCCAGATGATGTGACTCTCAAGAAGTCTTTGGCCAAATATTCTTGAAGAAATGGCTTACAAATTGAGCGGAAAAAATCAAACTGCCCTTGCACAATCTTCTTTACCTGAGGTAAATTTTATACATGAAAACCAGAATCTTTCTTAGAACAAAAAAAAAAATGCTTATTCTTTTCTGTATAGCTCTTATTATTAACGTAAATTTAATATATAGATGGAGCAAAACAGAGGGAGGAAGAGAGGGACTCTGTGGCAAAAGTTGGTATTCTTACACCCATCAACGAATTATTTGTATGACTTTTTAATGATCACCATTTATTATTGCATACCTCCAATGAACGGCAAATTTCTCACTCATCGGATATGACCATCTCCATAAAGACAAACAATTTTTTTTTTTTTTTGGTGGTTTAATAAAACTTCAGTTTTAACCACCACTCCAGAAAAATTCACAACATGAAAACGTCAACCATGAACTATGCACATTTGAAAGCCCCAAATCAATTTTCTCAATATTTTTATTTAGGTGTGATCATTATTCTCTGCAACAAGCACACGCAAATCTCCCATATATGAAAGGCTACATATTTTGGCAAAGAGATCTTCCTGCACAATCAAAGACCTAATCATAACTCCAGCAACTATAAAATGAATGAAAAGTGACATGGAAGAGGGGGGCAGCAGACAATGCAGCCCTCAAATTAACAGAGTTTGTATTTGCAGTATCCAGATTATCCACAAGTATGTGTACCTGCAAGAGCAACATTTGAACTCCGTAAGATTGGTATATGAGTAACATATTATATATGAGATGACAACCTCAAATTTTCCATCTAAGGTAATAATTAAGCAGTAAAAGCAGAGCAAAGAAAGTAGAAGGCAGCTATGAAAAACACCGTTCAGGAGAAGAGGAATTAAGGATAATCAGCCAAAAATAAAATATTCTCCTGCCATTGATGTGATCACACATCAAATGAAATCTAAGGAACCTATTGTTGATGCTTGATTTTGACACCAAAGACTCGCACATGTGAAATACTGAGTTGACTCAGAAGACACACGTGAATAAGGGGATAATGGATTGAATAAAGGATGAAGGACAATGTTTAAAGTGGTTCGGATGCTTAAACAAGTAAAACCTACGTCCACTGATATTATATTAATGTATAAGATCAAGTTACTTTTGGCGAGCTGATTTATAATTTAAAGAGTACAACAATACAAGAGAGCAATTCTAGAGTGAAATTAGCCAATCCCACAAACGGGAGAGCAGCCCTCTATTTATAGTGGAATGAATTAAGACAATGATTACTGAATCCATAAAAAGGGGGTAGATACCGTGCAAATTCTTCTTTGCGTCTCATTGCTCACCTGCTCGAGTGATTTCCTCGGTTTGTGTAGGGATTGGACACGTGGACCATCTCCAACCTTTCGTCAATCTGGCGTGCATCCACTGCACTGATAGGAGCATGCCGCTCTCGTCAGTATGCGACATGGCTGCATCTGAATAGCTGCTGGACTTACTTAAGCTCTGACCGCTTACGCTGACAGGGCTCTATGCCAGCCCTACTTTTTCAGACATAACACCTATGAACCACACTTGTTTGTCAATCTGTACATTTTTGAAACATTACAATTGGCAGCTAGGCAGCCTACAATATCTAAGCTACTAACAATGATTGGTGGTTTATAAAGACTAGTTGGCATGACGTCTAGCAATTTATCCATGTAGATGTTATTGTAGTCCTGTTCCTACATAATCAGATAAAGATAAAACAAGCAGATTATTAAAAGAAAAAAAATTGTTAATCCAGGGTTGAATCTGCTAGGTACTGAGCACTAAATAACTGAGGAAAGACAGGATTACTGTGGCACAGCAATTTTCACTGTGGGTTTAACACATTTACTTCAAGATATCTAGTAGATTGATGCCACCAACAGCAAGTAGACCAGACACGCCTGTCTTGCACTTGAAACCATTACGGTTCGTCGCAGAACCTTCTGCATGCATTTAGCTGCCTCTTCTCTTGAACCGATTATGACTTCATTTATAGCTCGACCTGCAAAATGTTATTTTATGTATCATTCAAGTATCCAGATTAAGTAAAGAAGGTCTAATGAAAATTTTCGATCACATGTTCTCTTACAGAAAATTGGTTGCAGAATAAGTTTTAATTTGTACACTGCCTCGGAAATAACATTTCCTATTAACCTGTGGATATCAACTGAATTTCATACCATATTCATTTATTCTCTTCTTCTCTCCAAGCTTCATCCCCATTTGACTTCTAATTGCTGGTGGAAGAGAAGACACAAGGGACAAGTGACCGGCAAGCCACAATCCTGATTCAAGCGACAGAAACATATAAGAACTTGGCGCTTTAAAGCATAAGATGACGAGAACAAAGCTGTTCAAACATCAGTTTCCTTAAAAAGAAACAAGTTTTTAAAGCTGTTTTTCTTAAATTTATCATGAAAAAACAATTTACTTTCACCAGAACAAATATGCAATAAACAATGGAACAATGAACTGAAAATGGAGAAATCATAATTTCAAAGAAAATAAAAACCAAGTTAGATGCATAACAGAGCCCTTATCAAGAATTGATTATAAGTAACAAGAGTAAATAGAGGTTCTGCTAAATTGTACATATGTAGGTCATATGGTTTGAGCCAATACTAATCAAGTATTGGGTATTGAATCAATTTTACAAACCTGTGATATATTTGCTTGGCCAGTTCCAGATGATGACGCTCAAGAAGTCTTTGGCCTATATCTTGAAGAAATGGCTTATACATTGAGTGGAATAAATCAAACTGTCCTTGCACAATCTTATTCACCTGAGGCAATTTTTATACATGAAAACCAGAAACTTTCGGGGAACAAAAGATATACTTGTTCACTTTTGTACAACTCTTATTATTAACATGCCTGTAATATATTGATGGAGTGAAACAAGGAGGAGAGAGGGACTCTTTCATAAAATTCACAACATGAGAGAGTCAACCATGAACTATGCAATCAATGCTATTGAAAGCCACAAATCAATTTTCTCAATATTTTATACAGGTGTGATCAAGCTGTACCTTGTTTTTGTCCTCTGCAAAAGCATACGCAAATCTCCCATATATTAAAGGCTACATATTTTGGCAACAGATCTTCCTGCACGATCAAAGACCTAATCATAACTCTAGCAACCTAAAATGAATGACAGTAACATGTAAGCAAACCTGTGTGAGCTTGGAGGGCAGAAAGAAGCAGCAGACAATGCAGCCCTCAAATTAAAAGAGTTTGTATTTGCAATACCAGATTATCCACAAGTATGTGTACCTGCACAAGCAACACCAAGCTCCCTGAGATTGGTAAATTACTGATATACGAGACCACAAACTCAATTTTCAGATCTCAGCTCATGATTAAGAACCAAAATCATGCAAAGAAGGCAGAAGATAGCTAATAAAAGCACAGCTCAGGAGAAGAGGAATTAAAATAATTAGCTAAACATAAGATCTCCTATCATTGATATGATCACTGTCAAATGACATCTAAGCAACATAAGGACCATACACACTCGTCAGTCATGCGCATTATAGTAACATCATACTTGGCAGCTTGGCAGCCTACAACCTCTAGCTTCAAGCAATGATTGTTTCAGGGCTTTTAATTGACTAGTTGGCATGACATCTAGCATTTTATCCATGGAGATGTTATTGTAGAAAATTAAGAAAAACTAGCAGTTAAATGAAAAAGAAAATTTTAAATCCAGGAGAGATTTGTTAGGAACTGAGCATTAATTATTAAGGAAAGACAGGATAGTTGTAGCACAACGACTTTTGCTTTAGATTAACGGTACCTATGTCTAAAATCTTGTAAAACTGTCAATTTGAAAACAACAAAACAAACAAGACTTCAGCCACCTTTGAAGCTCTCTTGAAGGTGTGATCGCTAGGTCTGATTTCCTAGTCCCTTTGCTGAAATTATGACACTAGTTCCCAAGGAAGAAATGTTGATGCATATTACAATTAAGAAGAAATGAATAAAATATTATATATATATATAAAAAGACAAAAAAAGGGAAAATCAGGAAGCAGACCGGTTTCTGTAAAGCTAACATGATTAAGCGGTAAAGCAGAGCAAAGAAAGTACACATGGCACGTCTCGGCCGCCCGAGTCTCATAGGTGCGCCCGGAGCTTATGGGGTAAGGAGGGTCGAGGCAGGTCGTGTCAATATGATTTGCGAATTTGCTTGAAGCATTGTTCCTTATTTCCAAAGGGCTTTTGTTTTAACAGTCATTATCTGATCCATTATTGGATGGCGGAAGATTTTCTTCGATCTGGTGACAAGAACGAAGAGTTGGAAGATATTGGGGAGAGATATTTGAAGGAATTATTTGATGCGATTTTCTTTCAAGATGTGGTAAATCATGGTTATTATTTTACATTCAAATTGCATGATTCTATGCATGATCTTTTGCTAAAAGAGGCACGAAATGATTGCCAAAGTGTGGATCTTAGAGTCACGTATTCTAAAACACAGGCTAAATATTTGTCATTTAATGGTATTCAGCATGGTGATGAAAAAATTTCACATGTTTCACGCTCCTTGTTGGCAATCATCATAAAAAGTTCTCCGTTTAAGCCTGTTAGTAAATCCTTCGTTAATAGATTGACATCGAAGTTTAAGCAGATCCGCCTGTTATGCTTAAGTGGTTTACAATTTGAAGAGCTACCGTATTCTGTCGGTTCATTGGATGAATTGAGATATCTTGACCTATCTTGGAATTTAATTATGATGGAACTCTCGGAGGCAATTTGTAAACTTAAGAATTTGCAAACCCTAATACTTCTTGGTTGTTCACGCCTTAAGAAGTTTCCTGAAAATATGCGAAAAATGATCGACCTCAGATATTTGGAAATAACCACAAAAGTGCGGCGTCTACTGGGAAATGAACTTGAATTTTTGCCCTCTCTCCGATATCTGCACTTGTATCACTGTCACCATCTTGAAAATTTGTCTGGAAAGATGCAAAGTCTCACCGAACTCCGAACATTGATTTTGCAAGGTTGTGATAGCTTGAAGTCGTTGCCAGACGATATGAAATATCTAGAGAGATTGGAGAAGCTTGTGATACACAGTTGTTCAATCCTTAATCTGAAGATGGACTTGCAAGAAGAAGACCGCCGCCTGAACCTGAAAGTATTTATGATTTATGAACTAGAAGAAGCATTAGATTTACCCCAATTTGATTCTTCAAGGGTCTGCCAACACTTTAGAGTACATGCGGATTGATTCATGTTCCAGTCTCACAACACTACCACCATGGCTCACAAATCTCACATCACTTCAAAAACTTGAGATTGTAAGTTGCCCAGGATTGTCATCTCTGCCAAGCGGGGTGGAGAAACTCACTGCCCTTAAAGAATTGAAGATACAAAAATCTCCTACCCTGAGTGAAAGCTGCAGAAGGAATCGGTCAAAGATTGATCATGTCCAGAACATTCATCTTGACCCTGAAAAGTATTGTTTCTGCTACCTTTGTAATTCAAACTGTGTAAACTATACTGCATGGATCAGTGAAATCTGATACTTTATTATGATATTTAATGTATAAATCCTTCTCATAAATTTTCTTAATCCAATATATCATATGCCAATTTATGTCTTTTATTTTGTGATCCGTATTTGATGTTGAATGTCAACATAATTTTCTTTCTAATCATTTCTCTTTAATTAGTTTAACAGTTTATGTATAAGAAAAACAAGGTCTAAGTTTTCAGGTGTCGTGTAGGAAGATTTCAAAGAAAGATATTTGGATTTTCGATACTCGTTTGTGGAATAGAATTTTACTAAAAAATTTATTAATAATTACTAGAAATTTTATTTGTCTCACATCGCCAATTTGATTGAATATTACCGGGTATAAAGTTCCATAACATACCTTCCTTGCCCCATGCGACCCACCACAAGACTGGAATCTCTTTTTTAATTTTTTCCGGCCCCTAGATCCTAAAACAAGAAGTGTAATTAAACTTTTTACTTATTGTGTAACTTGTACCTTTTTTTTTTTTTTTTTTGGCAGGATTCTGGAGATTCGGTGAAAAGGCTTGAGCAAGTGCAAGAAGTTTCAATTCCGATTCCTGCTTATTGTGATGTTTTTCTTTTTATTTATGTCATGGATTGTTATGTTCGGAGTATTTGTTATTTCTGAAACTTATGGGCGTGTTGAATAGGTTCATGAAACCTCAAGGGAAGATATACTTTTCCCTGTGTTATGACTGGATTCATGTTAATAATGTTCGTACTGGATAATGCTACTGTTTGTTTCGTCGTTTCTGTTCCCATTCAAAAACTATGAATAATCTCAAAATAAAATGCATCTTAAAGGGCGTTTTTTGTTTTTTTGTTCTTGTTTTCGGATTTTTTTTTTTTTTTTTTTTAAACAAGCTCATAGAATAAATATGGTACTGTTCATTACAAAGGGAGTGGCTTGCTTGCTCCCAAAATTACCTCAACAAACGAACAACCAACTATGAAGCATTCTCATCTTGAAAGTTATAATCTACCTGACCAAACCTCATGAAAATTGAGAAAGAGAAATGGGTAGTTTTATGTCCAGGATTTCCAAGCTTTCTGCAATTTGTTAGCAAGATATCTAGTAGCATTGATGCCACCAACAGCAAGTAGACCAGACACTGCCTGTCTTGCACTTGAAACCATTACGGTTCGTCGCAGAACCTTCTGCATGCATTTAGCTGCCTCTTCTCTTGAACCGATTATGACTTCATTTATAGCTCGACCTGCAAAATGTTATTTTATGTAATCATTCAAGTATCCAGGATTAAGTAAAGAAGGTCTAATGAAAATTTTCGATCACATGTTCTCTTACAGAAAATTGGTTGCAGAATAAGTTTTAATTTGTACACTGCCTCGGAAAATAACATTTCCTATTAACCTGTGGATATCAACTGAAGTTCATACCATATTCATTTATTCTCTTCTTCTCTCCAAGCTTCATCCCCATTTGACTTCTAATTGCTGGTGGAAGAGAAGACACAAGGGAGCAAGTGACCGGCAAGCCACAATCCTGATTCAAGCGACAGAAACATATAAGAACTTGGCGCTTTAAAGCATAAGATGACGAGAACAAAGCTGTTCAAACATCAGTTTCCTTAAAAAAGAAACAAGTTTTTAAAGCTGTTTTTCTTAAATTTATCATGAAAAAACAATTTACTTTCACCAGAACAAAATATGCAATAAACAATGGAACAATGAACTGAAAATGGAGAAATCATAATTTCAAAGAAAATAAAAACCAAGTTAGATGCATAACAGAGCCCTTATCAAGAATTGATTATAAGTAACAAGAGTAAATAGAGGTTCTGCTAAATTGTACATATGTATGTCATATGTGGTTTGAGGCCAATACATAATCAAGTATTTGGGTATTGAATCAAATTTTACAAACCTGTGATATATTTGCTTGGCCAGTTCCAGATGATGAGACGCTCAAGAAGTCTTTGGCCTCATATTCTTGAAGAAATGGCTTATACATTGAGTGGAATAAATCAAACTGTCCTTGCACAATCTTATTCACCTGAGGCAAATTTTATACATGAAAACCAGAAACTTTCGGGGAACAAAAGATATACTTGTTCACTTTTGTACAACTCTTATTATTAACATGCCTGTAATATATTGATGGAGTGAAACAAAGGAGGAAGAGAGGGACTCTTTCATAAAATTCACAACATGAGAGAGTCAACCATGAACTATGCAAATCAATGCTATTGAAAGCCACAAATCAATTTTCTCAATATTTTATACAGGTGTGATCAAGCTGTACCTTGTTTTTGTCCTCTGCAAAAAGCATACGCAAATCTCCCATATATTAAAGGCTACATATTTTGGCAAACAGATCTTCCTGCACGATCAAAGACCTAATCATAACTCTAGCAACTCTAAAATGAATGAGCAGTAACATGTAAGCAAACCTGTGTGAGCTTGGAGGGCAAGAGAAGAAGAGCAGCAGACAATGCAGCCCTCAAATTAAAAGAGTTTGTATTTGCAATAACCAGATTATCCACAAGTATGTGTACCTGCACAAGCAACACCAAGCTCCCTGAGATTGGTAAATAATACTGATATACGAGACCACAAACTCAATTTTCAGATCTCAGCTCATGATTAAGAACCAAAATCAGTGCAAAGAAGGCAGAAGATAGCTAATGAAAAGCACAGCTCAGGAGAAGAGGAATTAAGAATAATTAGCTAAACATAAGATCTCCTATCATTGATATGATCACATGTCAAATGACATCTAAGCAACATAAGGACCATACACACTCGTCAGTCATGCGCATTATAGTAACATCATACTTGGCAGCTTGGCAGCCTACAACATCTTAGCTTCAAGCAATGATTGTTTCAGGGCTTTATATTGACTAGTTGGCATGACATCTAGCAATTTATCCATGGAGATGTTATTGTAGAAAATTAAGAAAAACTAGCAGGTTAAATAGAAAAAGAAAAATTTTAAATCCAGGGATGAATTTGTTAGGAACTGAGCATTAAATTATTAAGGAAAGACAGGATAGTTGTAGCACAACGACTTTTGCTTTAGATTAACGGTACCTATGTCTAAAATCTTGTAAAACTGTCAATTTGAAAACAAACAAAACAAACAAGATCTTCAGCCACCTTTGAAGCTCTCTTGAAGGTGTGATCGCTAGGTCTGATTTCCTAGTCCCTTTGCTGAAATTATGACACTAGTTCCCAAGGAAGAAATGTTGATGCATATTACAATTAAGAAGAAATGATAAAAATATATATATATATATATATAAAAGACAAAAAAAGGGAAAATCAGGAAGGCAGACCGGTTTCTGTAAAAGCAGTAACATGATTAAGCGGTAAAAGCAGAGCAAAGAAAGTAGAACCACACTTGTTTGTCAATCTGTACATTTTTGTAACATTACACTTGGCAGCTAGGCAGGCTACAATATCTAAGCTACTAACAATGATTGGTGGTTTATAATGACTAGTTGGCATGACGTCTAGCAATTTATCCATGCAGATGTTATTGTAGTCCCGTTCCTACAAAATCAGATAAAGATAAAACAAGCAGATTATTATTAAAAGAAAAAAAATTGTTAATCCAGGGTTAAATCTGCTAGGTACTGAGCACTAAATAACTGAGGAAAGACAGGATTACTGTGGCACAGCAATTTTCACTCTGGGTTTAACACATTTACTTATGTCTAAAACCTTTTAAAGCTCTCAATTCGAAAACCAACAAAATAGACAAGATCTTCAGCCAGCTTGGAAGAAATGTCGATTGCATAATACAGTTAAAAGAAGAAACATAGGAGAAAAAAAGGGAAAAATCAGGAAGGCTCACCGGTTTCTGTAGACGACCACTCAAATAACATCTTTCCCAGTTCATTATGTCCTGTACCAAGTCATGCATTCGAACAACCCCATATTTCAACATCTGCCCATAATTGATCCATGCAAAAAAAATACAAGAAATCTTATTATCCATCATAGAAACGGAGGTGCATTTCATGCTTAAATACTGAACACTCAAGTTGTAATCTAAACCGAGAAACCCAACCAATCTTCAGTTTCAGCTAATTAGAATGAAATTTCAACAGCTCGCGTGCTGAAGCGAAGAGCTTACCTGGAGGCCGTGACCTACGTGGCAGCACTACTAAGAGCAGCTCCCGGCTCCTATGGCTGCCACAAGAAATTTGCTTGGTCATTTCGTTAGTCTTTGGGAGTTTGATTGCGAGTTTTCTTCTTAATTTTTTTATCTGTGTTTGACGGAGGTTTTGTGAGTATCCATGGTAAGATGATTTTTTGTGATGGTTTAAGGTTGGTTTGAAGGTGGTTTTTGCAGTGGATGGGCAGGGATTTTGTGGTGATTTATGGTGATTATTGGTGGTTTACGGTGGTTTCATAAAATATCCAATTTTACTACATTATGCACAAGTAATTATACATAATACATAATTAAATAGTTTTCCCATAAATTCTCTTAAATTTATCAACTGTATATCAATTTATAACTTCATTTCCACATTTTACTTATATTCTTGTTCTAACTGAATTAAACCACACATGGAATTAATGTAATTACATAACAATATTTTGGCAACTTCTGAAATTATAATTTTTTTTTTTTTTTAAATCGGGGTACCTAAACCAGTTTATACGCATATCAACTAATCATCTGGGACCCTGGAACTACTAGTTAGGTAAAAGCATTAGTGTCTATCCCTATTTAACAGTTGATGAGAGACTCAAACTCAAGATATCTTGAGTAATACATCCAAGAATTTCTATCAAACTACTTGATGATCAAGTTTAATATTTCATACCCTATTCCCTATCCTATTCTCAAAATACATGTTTGTTTAATTATTTGGAAAATACTACTTTATTTTTTTAATTACTTTTAGACCCTTTAAGTTTATTAATTTAATTAAACACCCCTGGAAAAAAGTTTAAATATTAACAAAAACACCCCTCACTCACCCATAGTTGCCAGATTCTGACAACCACCGGAATCTGTCACAATGGCGTATAAATGACAGGAACTGGCTGGTAATTCGCCGATCTGGCCTTTTCTGATCAAATCCACAATGGATCTAGAAGGAAAAGGCCATGTCGAACGACCAGATCCGACCGGTCTACATCATAATGCCATTTTCTGACCAGATTTCGGTGGTGGTGGCCGGAATCTTGCACTGTGGGTGGGTGGGGGTGTTTTTGTCATTTTATAAAATTTTTATATATTAGGGTGTTTGGTAAATTAGCAAACCTAAGGGTTTTTTTGTTAATTTTTAAATTTTACCTTGTAATACTCACTCTATTCAACTATTCAGTAGAGATTCTTTCTTTTCAAAATAGCAATAGAAAGCAATATTACAATAACTTACTGAAATTGGTATACATAATATTTTTATATTACGTCTTGAAATTCCAATAAAAAATAATAATTTTTTTTTTCTTCTAGTTATTAGATTTAATATAGGGTGCGTTTGGCAGGATATTTTTATCCATATTTTGAAACAGATAGCGTTTGTTTCATTATTTAGACAATAGAATCTTCAAAATCTTATCCTGCAACTTTTCTGACAGTTTTTAATGCATGGACAGTAAAGAGGGAAGAAACCCAGATGCTTTACTAAAATTTTCTCTAAGTTTGTGACCCTGAAATTGTATAATTTTCATAATATTTATTTTGTTAGATGAAAAGAAACCTGAGAAAGTT